AAAAATATGGAAATTCTACCGAGTTTAAAAGGAATATATGAAAACATTTATTAAACCTAACTTTTTTGCTAGTACTGTAATCCTATTTTTACCATTATATTTATTATGTTGTTGATTTATCTACGGACAAGGAGGTGAGTTAAAAATGAGACTAATTTTTTTCACCTTTAAATGATATGATATTAAAAAATCGTGTATTACGAATTTAGATACTGGGATGTTACTAAAATTTCAATACCAAGAGAACTACAACATAAGCTTTAGTTATTAAAAAATCATCTTTGCTTAATTCGAAAAATTATTAAAAATCATTATTTATTATAGGACCTTACAAATTTATAATTTCTTATTTTACATTTTATTACATTTTATTGTCACACATCAATGTATTTATTTTACTTACCTGGCTAGTCTCTTAGATTTAAGTTTGAATATTATTGAATTTTTATGTTATGCAGTATTCATTTTTGTATCATTTTTAATCTCAACATACAGTTCAAAATTTGTTAGTATGTTAATATATATGTACATTGTGAAATCATTATATATCATTTGATCATTTAAATTTAGATTAGGGTGGAATCAAAGAATGTGTTTATTATTTATAGTTCTCTTAGTTTTCTTATTTTCAAATATGTTATACAAGTATATAGTTAATAAAATTTAGATTTTTATTCGGTAAGCTATTATAAAATATACCTTTTTAAAATTAAAAGTTCATTGTAATTAACAGTTATTAAATTATTTATTTCTTATAGAAATACTAGGAGTAACTATAACATTATCATATTTATTATTTTATTATTCAAGACTATGTCATTTAAATTTTGGTAAAATTGATAAAAGCGGCAAAGGACTTAAATATTATCATAAGTTAATGATAAAACTTTGATTGTATTTTTAAACTACAATTATTATTTATTAATTTGCAAAATTAATTTTATTAGTCCAATTTGATCCTAAATTAAAGGATGAATATAAGTATTCAAAATTATAGATAGTTGATGATGATAAATCATATTCAAAATTATTATATAAACATTATTAGGAATCTATTAAAAAGTTACACAATTTTCTTAAAGAATGGTTGATAGACAATCAAAAATAAAGAAAGTTAAAAACAGGAAGTAATAATCTAAAAGTGATTATTTTATAATGGTTCATATAATTTTGATAAATAAATATTTTGATTTCGTTAAGTTTAATTACGTAGTTTAAAAGTAATTTGAATAAATAAAGTAACGTATTATTATTATTTGTTATATTAATTATACTAATTAAAATGAGTTTACAAATATAGTATCTTTAACGTGATTTTAATATATAAAAAAAATAAATAGAAAATAAAATAAATAATTTAATCTTAACTTGTTCATTTTTTAAACTCATGACAATACATCTTCTTTTCTTTTTTTATCATCTTTCTTTTCATCATATTTACATTTAGCAGGTCTAATTTTTTTAATAAATAATTATCTAAATAATAATCTTTTAAAAAAATTTCTAACATTTGAACTCTTATTTTTTAAATATTCTAATTTCTCTAAAATTTGAACTTCATCTTTCAAATGTATCTGAATTTTATTTTCAGAAGTTATAGGTAAAGGTGAATTATTTTCTACTGGTAATTTTGAATCAACTGATAGTGAAGAATATTCATAATCTTTAAGTTCAATTTTCTTAACAAGTAGAAGACTGCCATATGTAACATAATTTTCTGTGAATTTACTTGTAAAACTTTGTCTAAAAGAAATATAAGTAAGCAAATAATTTAGTATTAAACCTCTTAAAGTAAAAAAAAATGATCAATATAATATTATAAGTTAATTTTGTAATTGAAATATATTGCTTACAACAATTCAAGTTTTTGTATTCCAAATAATAAATAAAAGATTTCTATGAATTATATTAATGTTATGGTGTTAAGTCTAAACACTATGTTATTAGGATAACAAAGCTTATTTGCTAACAAGGAGTTTAAGTAATAAATTATAAAAAAAATAAATACGAATTTATTTAAGTTGAAGGGTCAGGTCGTCTTTATTGATAATTTATGTTTTAAAAAAATAGATATTGGCAAAGATATAGTTTTTATATTGTTAGGATTATACTTTATTAATTGTATGATAGTAACTTATTAGTTTATCAAAGGTGATAATACAGAATATTTATATAAAATACAATTATAAGATAGGGATAATAAATATAATAATGAAAGCAAATATAACTATGAAAATAAATATATTAAATAAAATAATGATAAACGTAATAA